CAAACTCTAGCCATTGCCATTGCGTTTCCAATTCGCGTTCGTAGAAGCTTTCATGAAGGGATTTCTTTTTTTTTTGTGGTGTTAGTTGAGTGAGTCGTTCTTTTCATATAAAGTCCCACGAAGTTCTTCTTCGTTGCTAACAACTTGGATCATTTTCGCTGTTTATTTCGGACTTTTTAGTAATCGTTAGAACATCTTTGTTTTTTTCTCTTGAAATGAACGAAAAAGAGAAAGAAATGTAACCGGAAGTTGCTAAACCAGCCGAATCTCCTTTCTGGGCTTCTCCTGTCAGTTCAGACAGCTGCTTACCGTCATACAGGGAAATCGACTATTCGTCTCATTTGGATGAGTTAGAAAAAGGATGTTTATGTTTACGTCCAATTCGCGCTACACCATGTTCTGAAAAGAAGAGTCAAGCAGTGTCCATGATGCTTCTGAAAATTCCATCACGTCTGTATTATGGTTGATTATCTCTCCAGCAAAGGTTGCTAGGATTCCACAAGCTACTGTCAAAGTGGTAAATGAAACTGCTCGACTTGTCTGGTGCTACATTTTTGCATTTGTGCTGGATTTTGTATTTTCGTACTTTCTTCTTTCTCCTTTTATATAAAAAAGTCAATGGAAAATCTTCCGACATGGGCTCACTTGACTCCAGCGGTTCTTCTTGCCGTTTTGGCTTTCTGGATTTGCATGTTTGTTGTTTCATGTGAGTTGATTGATAGATATTTGGTTTGAGACTTTTACTAATGGATCAATTATAGACTTGTTGGATCTTTTCATTCTGTTACTAATTGGTCTAATTGTGTCACTAAACGGTCTCATTCTGTTACTAAATAAACTTGATCTCTGGATTACTTCAATTTTTGGTTTCTACGCGACGTTGGAAAGAAACGACTTGGCGGGTGATAATCCCATCCCACTGATTACAATCCCAACCGAGTCTCAAAACCTATCAAATGATCCTAATAATCTTGCAGACGAACCACCATCTTCTGAATGCGTTGAACAATTTCCGGAAAGACAGCAGAAACCAAGTCAATCTAGGGACGTTGGAAGCACTGGGAATTTGGAAAGCAGCTGATTCCTTGGTTTCGTACTCTATCTTCTTTCGATATTTTCAATCGGCGAGATGAGAAATTGAAAGGGTTCTTTTCATTCTCTCTTTCATATTCAGTATTGTTATGTTACGTTTTCTTCATTTTCAACAAACTTTTTTTACGTTCGTTTTTTGCATAAATTATTTATTTTGTACTTTGCATTGCTGATATCGTTAAATACGTGATCATTCTTGATGCTACGATAAAATTGTATTGACTTTGAGATAAGTGAACGTTTACATAACATGGTACGTGAATAGATTGTCATTGTTCCACTGGCAATCCTTTTGCTGTGTGATCTGTACTTTAGATCGGGACGACAACCATGAATTGACGTTTCCATGTTCCTTAAACGAGTATCACTTTTCTTTTTGATTACATCTTGCATCTGCGTGACGCTCCATTTCCTCTGTGCTTTTAAAAAATACCATTATTACACTTTTGTTTTTATTTGTTTGTACTGGAATTTTAGATGTATGCCTTTTTCTTTTGTCTCAAGATAACCTACAAGATATTTCTGACTGATGTCTTAATAATTCCTGCTTCTTGTCGGTTTTGCTGCGTAGTGGTTCCTTCCATTGTAGCATTTCGTCCATTGGTATGACAGTAAAAAGCTCAACCATGAAAAGAACCTTTATGAAAACAAGAAAAATAAAAGAAGGAGCCTACAGCACCCCGGATTCCTATGTTGACTTCTACCATAGTACTAACGAGACCTTCAGACGTTTTCACTTAATTGCAGTGATCGGACGGGAGCTGGTGTTTTCGCCTAGGTGTGGCCGTAGACACGTGCAAGTTCGTCTGAAAACATCTATGGAGTTTGTTCCATACATTGGTGTTTCTTGAAATTCAGATTTAGCTTCCTTTTGCTCAACCTTGGTCCTTTGTGGAATTCAATGGAGGATGCTGGGTAATATACAATGCGTTTTTTTCGTAGCTTAATTCTTTATAACTCAATGCAGCTTGTCATTACTTACTGCAAAAAAAATATAAAGTAGTTCTTGTTCAAAGAAGGATTGTTTTTTTCGTTTTTTCGCTTTTCCGTCAGAATTGTAGTTCGGTGAAATCACGGATTTTTTTTCGGTCTTATTAACATCAGTTCTTCTCTTTTTCCCAAAAATGAAGTTTGGTTTTAGAAAGACATTCTTATGTCCAGTATTTCAGTATATCTACAGTCGAAATCTTCAGACTGGAAGATTCAAGAATGCTGGATACAAACTAATAACTTTTAAATAAAATACAAGACGAAAAATGCATAAACTGAGAATCAGATTGCAATATGACTAAAAACCAAAAAACAACTGCCTTGTTTACCACACTGTTTGT